ACAGTCAGGCTGGGGAGGAAATGGCTAGATGATGCTGGGTGTCCTCCAGCCAGGAAATGAGGCTGGTTCTGACTTGCTATACACACATACTTACAGGCAAATCTGCCATTACATTGGCATGCTCGACTTTGTACAGTGACTGCGCGTTACTGTCAGTTTACGTCTAACCTAAATAGTACCTTAATCCTCCTGTCCCATTGCACTACTGACTGGACACAAACCCAAATCCAACTGGGTGGGTGCGGTGGTGACAACGGATGCCTCCGTGAAATGTAGATAGATGAAAGTAGTCACTCGCACTCCATGATATTAAAGTCATTGCTGTTTATTGACTGAGATAACACACATCTCCTAAGGAGATAATAAACAGCAATGACTTTAATATCATGGAGTGCGAGTGACTACTTTCATCTAACCTAAATAGAAGACACTCTACAGCAGGGGTAGGCAAACTCCGGCCCTCCAGCTGTGGTTAAACTATAAATCCCATCATGCATCTGTCTCCGGGAGTCACACCTGTGGCTATCAGAATCTTGCAATGTCACATGGGACTTGTAGTTCGAAAACAGCTGGAGTGCCAAAGTTTGCCCACCCCTGGTGTAGGACTAGTAGCCGAACTTCGGCCCTCCAGCTGTGGTGAGAGTACTAGTTGCTAGTCCCATCTTGCATCTGGGAGTCATGCCTGCGGCTGTGCACATCTTGCTATGTCTCATGGGACTGGTAGTTCTACAAGAGCCGGGGGGCCAAAGTTGGCCCACCCCTGCTCTATAGCCTAGCTGAGCACTCAACAGTCAATAAGCAGGGATGCTAATCCCTATTCCCTGATGCACAAGTAACCAGAAATGTGCAATCACTGAAAATCCTAAAAAGCAAAACCAACTTCCTGTATATATCTCAATGCCCAGCGGTTGCCCTGTATGTAGCATTGGATATTTTTAGGAGTGTCTCTGGCTCGGGAAAATCCAAACCCGAACACCCGGATTACAGACCAAGCAGGCGGTCGTACCCTTTTCAGCTGCTGCTCCTTGTACAGCTTCACCGTCCGGGCCGGCTCGGAGATCAGGTTCTTGTAGTTCTCGCAGATGTTAATCCGGGACTGTGCCACCTGCATTGTGCCTTCCAAGTACGACTTCCATACTGTGTATATGTTCCTGTGGATACAAAAAGACTAAAGCGTCAGCTTCTCGCCATCTTGGTGACGGACACCATCCCTTCCTCTCTTGTGCAGCTGTTGGGCTCTCAGTCCATGACCTAGTGTCCGATTTTTCAGAGGGGGTGACACCAAAATCACTGTCAATCATTTTAGTGTCACCCCTCTGATGGTGTTATCCGCTACGGGCTCCACCCCCCACACGATGCCACTGATCCTTACCTTTCTGGGGGCCCATATCTAGAGATGCATTTCACACTTCCTGGTGTTTGAATACCACCTCCCCCTACCAGTACCTAAGCCCCTACAGGACCTATGAGAAGAAGGGAGGAACCATTGCATTCTGCAGGGGAAACAGGTCTTTGACCCATCCTGCTGGTGGTATATCTGCAATGGCTGCGGAGCAGTGAAGCCGCGGCATTTCAATACATGGTCATCAGAATGTTAAAGACAACTCTGTGCAGAATGATTTTTAAATCTTACAGTGGACCAAAAGTGGAGGGCAGACCATTAAAATGTTGTGCAACCGAGTTAAAGGAGAACTATGGGGTTAAGGCTTTTCCCCATAGTTCTCCTTAGCGTAAGGGAGGACACAAACTAGCGTCCTCCCGTCACCCTAGGCTCAGTATACCGCGAGCTGTAGCTTGCGGTATACTGAGACGCCGCAGCTGAAGCGGATCCCGACAATTATGTCTGGATCCGCCCAGCTGCGTGACTGACAGCTGGCTCTGCCTATCTAGAGGCAGAGCCAGCTGTACCCACCCCCTCCCCCGTCCGTTCCGCCAGTCAGCGCTGGCGGATTGGAGCGGGGAATCCAGCCCCTCCCCTGTCACGGCAGAGAGCCGTGACAGGATCGAGAGGTGAGCGAACGCCGGTATGTGTTCGCTCACCTCCCGATCTACTGAGCCGACCTGTGACAGTCTCATTGTCACAGGTCGGCTAGAACTATGAGGTGAGTGAAAAGCACTTGCATCATAGTTCTCCTTTAAAGACCAGAAAGCATGAATGCAGAGAACCGGTTACATGGATGAATTGTGCTCCATTTACAGGCAAGTTCGGGTCACCAGACACCGCACAATCTTCATAACAGCAATTTTAGATTTACCAAAACTATGTAGAATGGGGACCAACCACATTGATCCAATCATTATGTATCCAGTGAGACAGGCCCTTGCATTGCATAGTTGTTGGTAGATCTAAAAGGAGATTGTGCAATCAGATTGCAACGTGTGGGATATTTAAATTGTGACAGTGGCAGTGGTGCTGCTATCAGAATACACAGTGACCGCAGTCACTGGCCGGCTGAGATTTTTCTGGCTGGCTCCTTCTAAAAAGTCGATATAAACATTAATGGAGGGCCACACACTGCTCAGACCTGACCAAAGTATAAGCAGCATGTGGCCAGATTAAAAGTACAGGATCTGCTGCTCCAAAGCCCTGAATTGGGTCACCCTCGTAGAAGATGGGGTGCAAGATGCCAGCTGGGGTCCATCCATCCAAAGAAAAAGACCTTCTGCACTCTGAACAAAATCCAACCGCTTGTAACTTTATTCATCTGGACCAACATGTCTGCGGTTTTTAGCGATCTGGTCATGTGACATGGGCCTTGCTTTCATATCCTCTCTATAGCTGAGCACTTCATGCAGTGAGTTGACATGCTGCCAGCCTTCCAATCTCAGAACAAGAGGGGAGAGAGCAGAGTGCAGAGACTGGATTTAAATTACTTCACTTCTTCTCTTAAGGTTTATTTGAAACTGCTTGTTGATGTGTAAATAATTGAGGGCTTGTTCACGCCTAATCCAATGCGCTCCGGCAAGATTAGTTGCCGAACGCTTAATTACAGTCTCCCTGCGTTCTGGGGCGGGAGGGCGGCGTGATGGTGCATTTAAGTCAATGGTAAGGCAGCCATGCCTCCCGAATGCATGGCACAACAATGCCCGCGGTGTTGTGCGATCGCAAAAAAATTGTGGCTGCGGTGCCATTGACTTGAATGCACCACCACGCCCCAAAACGCAGGGGGGCTGTAAACTAACCGTGCAGGAACGCACTGGATTAGGTGTGAACAAGCCCTGACTGTTCAAAGATTAACTTTAAGCAGATGTTAAATAGAAATGCCTGCCTTTAATGTCACCGACTGAGGAGTCGTCATATTAGGAAAAGAAGCGAGCTCTGTGCCTAGTCTGAAAGTAGCTCACATTAAGTAGCGGGGCTCCTCACCTGTACTCGCTTCTCTCATCTGGTTTTAACACCGGCCACTCTTTCTTCAGGTACTGGCTGGCCAATTTCTGAATAGTCTGGAAGATAAAACAACAACAAAAAACATTAATGTGAAACAAACCAAAACTACAGGATGAGGTCACACAACTAATATACTATTTAGAAAAAAATAATCTTTCTTAGATATCGATGACCCAATGAAAAGATTATTCAGCCATTTCTGGGGGTAAAACAGTTTACTTTGTCTTCATACACACAGAAGATTAAAAAAACCTCTCCCTGGATATATTTATTATACATACAGAAGAGTGTAAAGTGCAGAGTATAGAATGTACAGCACAGTGTACATAGTGGAGCATGTGATATGAAGCATCGTAGCGGAAGTAGCTTCACCCTCGTGCTCCAATAAATACTTCCCCATCGCGTTCCAAAAGCTACTTCTCCAGCTTCACCCTCGTGCCCCAATAGCTACTTCCCCAGCTTTGCCCTCGCATCCCAATAGCTACTTCCCCAGCTTCGCCCTCGTTCTCCAATACCTACTTCCCCAGCTTCGCCCTCCAATAGCTACTTCCCCAGCTTCGCCCTCTCCCCCAATAACTACTTCCCCAGCTTCGCCCCTGCCCCCCAATAACTTCTCCAGCTTCACCCTCGTGCCCCAATAGCTACTTCCCCAGCTTCGCCCTCGCCCTCCAATAGCTACTTCCCCAGCTTCGCCCTCCAATAACTACTTCCCCAGCTTCGCCCCAGCCCCCCAATAACTACTTCCCCAGCTACGACCCCCAATAGCTACTTCCCCACCTTCGCCCTCGCCCCCCAATAACTACTTCCCCAGCTTTGCCCTCGCTCTCCAATAACTACTTCCCCAGCTTCGCCATCGCCCCCCATTAACTACTTCCCCAGCTTCGCCCCAGCCCCTTAATAATTACTTCCCCAGCTTCGCACCAGCCCCCCAAATAACTATTTCCCCAGCTTCGCCCTCCAATAGCTACTTCTCCAGCTTCGCCCCCGCCCCCCAATAACTACTTCCCCAGCTTTGCCCTCGCTCTCCAATAACTACTTCCCCAGCTTCGCCCTCACCCTCCAATAGCTACTTCCCCAGCTTCGCCCTCGCTCTCCAATAACTACTTCCCCAGCTTCGCCATCGCCCCCCATTAACTACTTCCCCAGCTTCGCCCCAGCCCCTTAATAATTACTTCCCCAGCTTCGCACCAGCCCCCCAAATAACTATTTCCCCAGCTTCGCCCTCCAATAGCTACTTCTCCAGCTTCGCCCCCGCCCCCCAATAACTACTTCCCCAGCTTTGCCCTCGCTCTCCAATAACTACTTCCCCAGCTTCGCCCTCACCCTCCAATAGCTACTTCCCCAGCTTCGCCCTCCAATAGCTACTTCTCCAGCTTCGCCCTCCAATAGCTACTTCCCCAGCTTCGCCCTCCAATAGCTACTTCCCCAGCTTCGCCCTCCAATAGCTACTTCCCCAGCTTCGCCCTCCAATAGCTACTTCCCCAGCTTCGCCCTCCAATACCTACTTCCCCAGCTTCACCCTCCAATACCTACTTCCCCAGCTTCACCCTCCAATACCTACTTCCCCAGCTTCGCCCTCCAATACCTACTTCCCCAGCTTCCCCCTCCAATACCTACTTCCCCAGCTTCGCCCTCCAATACCTACTTCCCCAGCTTCACCCTCCAATACCTACTTCCCCAGCTTTGCCTTCGTGCTCCATTAGCTACTTCCCCAGCTTCCCCCTGCAATAGCTACTTCCCCAGCTTTGCCTTCGTGCTCCAATAGCTACTTCCCCAGCTTCCCCCTCCAATAGCTACTTCCCCAGCTTCCCCCTCCAATAGCTACTTCCCCATCAATAGCTAATTCTCCGGCTTCTGCAGCTGGAGAATGAGAGCTGAGGGATCGGAAGTGATGCAATCAGCGTCGCTACTGGACCCATTCAGCGAGTGGAACGGTAAACTGATGCTCGTTAGTCTCTCTCCCCGTTGACACCCATGATGCTGGTGCCGGGCCCGCAGGAGGGAAAGCAGAGCCTAGGAAGCAATGCAGGGGCGCCAGGAAGGGTGTGCACTACACCAGCTCATGGAAGCAATCTGGAAACAGCTCAGTCGCCAAAATCACTTCCAGTGTAAAGCCGACACTGCAAGCGACAAAGTTGCCAATAATAGCCGCATAGAGTCTGTTTAAAGGGGCCTGCTGCAAGAGGTGTATGACACGTCAGTGAAGGGGTTAAGGGTGTGCATATTTATGCAACTATGTTATTGTAAGTTTTTTTTATTTTTATTGTTTCCCCCCTTTAAAGATTTCAGTTTGTTTTTAATTGAATGGTACAGATTATAGATCACATGAAAGGTGGGACTTCAAAATAGAAGATAGCGAACCAAGCTGCAAATATTCCTTCCGCTAACAGATCTCAATATTGATTTTTTTTCCTGTATATTGGAACGACGTTTCAAACAAAACATTTCCCACATTCCCCAATAACTACCAGCAGAAGGAGCCATGAAAAATGACAAATTCCAGACACAATTCCGATGCAGACACATGAAATGTCTTGTTTGTGTCTCCCCCCTGCGCTGCTCTCATTAATATTCATGAGGAGGGAACAACAAAAGGGCCATTTCCCCATCTGTGGCCTGTGGAATTCCGGGAGGGCTACGTCTGATGCCGACACACAACGGGGGGACAAAGGACGGCTGCCGGCGGCCACATGGGCCCTTGTTTACCAGAGATCTCAGTGGAATCTATCGTACCGTTCACACCAATTACGCTGCGTTTACCGCGCATTAAACACGCTTTTTTTTAACACGTTAAGTTGTCGTGAATTTACGTTCTTTTCGGAGCCGGAGACAAAATGCTTTATTATGCATCTTTTTAATGCATGCTGCACTGCATTTAAATGCAGTATATCCTGTTTGCCTTCACTTCCTGTCCGATAGCCACAACAGGAAGTGAGAGGATATCCCTCCAAAGACAAGGAAAAACCTGGGAGGTCCCCAGGACTAGTGCCCCCATTGGATGTTTTTCCACCTATTCATGTTCCGGTGAACCCAAATTTGTGGTTTTTCTTTCACAGATACCGGTCAGCAGGACTAATAGAGGATTATAATATTAGAATAGGGCAGGGGTAGGCAAGCTCTGGACCCCCAACTGGGGTACGACTACAAATCCCATCATTAATCTGCCTCTGGGAGTCTGCCTGTGGCTAGCAGAGTCTTGCAATGCCTCATAGGATTTGTAGTTCCACAATAGCCAGAGGGCTGGAGTTTCTCTACCCCTGATATAGGATCTCTGCCAATAATTATAGGCGGTGACCTAAAAAAAAAAAAATCTGAGCCGTCAGTGATTTTTATTGGCCAGTTTCCGGTGTTGGGAGAAGAAAAGTAAAAAATATGGATAGGGACTTGCACCCCCATTAATCTCTCAGGCTACATCTATGAGCTTCCACTTGGCACCAGCCAGGACTGTGGCCCTGACACGGCATATGTGCCACTTCCTATCTGTTGTGTTATTGTGCTGACGGCTGGCGGGATTGCAGTTCGTTGTGGCGGAGGGGATGCCGCATCCACTTTATCCTCAGCTTGGGGGAGGACGGCGCGGCTTAATCACAGCTGGCATCTGCCATGCCGCCAAAGTCAGCAGATTTCACGGATGACGAGATGTGGGTGACCTGCATGGTCAAAGGCCAGCGCTGGCGGCTGACTGGTGTCATGAACAGGGCGCAGATTACCCGGGATTTCCTATACAAATATAATCGCTGGGGGATGTAATCCTCCCAAATATGGAGACTGCGATCTGTAAAACTCATCTCCCCCTAGCTACTGTGCAGACTTTTTTTCTCTGATTTTCTACTATATACACACCAGGGGTAGCTAAACTGCCGCCCTCCAGTTGTGGTGAAACAACAAATCCCATCATGCATCTGGGAGACTGTGGCTAAGAGTCTTGCAACTCCTCATGGGACTTGTAGTTCCTCAAAAGCTGCTTAGAGCAATGGAGAAGGGGAAAGTCGAGGAAATGCAATTATGTGCATAGACTTATTTTCAATTTCAATGCAGGGGTGGTGTTAGAAGCGCGCCGTCAGCGGCTCCGTCCGGGATTCCACACAGCTCACTGATGTCACTGATTGCCAGGAGCTCGGCGGGACGCCAGCCAGAGTGTCCCGCTCAGCTCCTGGCAGCTGGTGACGTCAGTGAGCTGGGCGGGAAGCCGGACAGAGCGTCACAGGTTGCAATCTGGGATTCTGTGACTGCTAGGGTTGCCACCTTTTTTTTTCAAGCGAAACCCAAACACTCTAGCGAAGCACTGACATTTTTTGGGGAGAATGAGTCGTGTAAATTCATATATATTCAAATTATTCATATGTAAATAGCGCCACCCATTTATATGTAAATATCACAGTTGAGACTTTTTGCAGTGGGGGCCAGTAGTCCCTATCAGAACTTTGCTTGCCCTGTCTGCCTGACATCTCGCGTCCGGGTTTCTGCTGGCATGAAACCCGGACACTGCATTCAAAACCCGGACTGTCCGGGTGAATCCTGGACAGGTGGCAACCCTAG